ACCTGTAACAGGAAAGAAATTTCTTGGTAGGAAAGTGAAAAAAGGGTAAGACTAGCTTAAGGATCCCAAAAAGATGGCTCTGGGAAAAAAAGTGAACACTTTTCCCCTGTCCAGAGGGCTGGATATCTATATAGGACAGAGAAGTTTTCAGTACAATGAGATGCACTTTTAAGTCTATATTGAGAAAATAACCAAAGGCAATTTAAAATTTGAACCCATGACTACGATAATATAACTATTACCAAGACTAGATTAATAACTTATTAGAATTCCACTGAACTTTGAAGTCTTAACATCGTATTATCATCTTTAAGTCTCATTTTTCACACACCTTAAATCACTTCCTCAGGCTTTTACAACTTATATAAGCTTTAAATTTTTTGGAAACGTTTAATCATACACCACAAGACATAGGTGTCTGGTTCCTGAGAGCAGTCACTGAAAAGCAAGTTCTTTTAAATAAAGGAATAGCAAAAAGTAAATTTTTAGTCAATAGCAATAGCATGGTAGCTTGAGTTCGATTTTACATTGAAATCGGTCTATGAGTCTGTCTTTGCAGTGGGACCCTAGTAGCTCTAGGGTCATATTTTCACATACGAAACTAATTTAGGATGGCAGATAATTGTGCCTCAGCCTCAAAGGCTCTTTATTTAGGAAAATTAGGTAATTTAAATTTTTTAGAAAGGTTTTAAAATTTGTATTAGCAAGTAACATTTTCTTCCCTTGTATCCAAAGTTACTGTAAAGTCAAATGCTTCTTGGTCAACTTGAAGCCAAAGTTACTGTAAAGCCACATGTTTTCTCCTTCCTTCCTTCCTTCCTTCCTTCCTTCCTTCCTTCCTTCCTTCCTTCCTTCCCTCCTTGTTTTTGTTTCTTTCTTGTTTGTTTGTTTATCTCTATTTTGTTTGTTTTTCTAGACAGGGTTTCTCTGCAAAACAGTCCTGGCTTGTCCTGGAACTCACTCTGTAGACCAGGTTGGCCTCGAAATCACAGAGTTCTGCCTGTCTCTGCCTCCCGAGTGCTGGGTTTAAATCATGCTCCACCACCATCCTACAAAGCCAAATGCTTTAAGGTGAGCCCTTGTATCCAAAGTTACTGTAAAGTCAAATGTTTTATGGTGAAAACAGAATCTCTAACTCTGAATGGGCTGGCCTGGTAGCCGCAGCCTAGTAGGAGGAACTACCTGAGTTTGGCTTGCTTCTGCTAAAATGTCTGAGAAAGCTAGGGCTCACCATCGATGCCATCACAGGGAACTGAGAAAGATAAATTTGAGCAACAAATATAAAGCAAATGGCCTTTGTATCAATTAAAAGTGACAGAGACTGTAACAGCCTTAGCACAGCTGGCTGTGTTAGAGGCACCATCCTGACTTTAGAGCCCTAATGTACTTTTTTTTTTTGACTTCTGTAGTTTTACTTCTCACTAACTGTTATTGCTAACTGAAGTGTGTCAACCAGGATGTGATTTTTCACACTCAGAAGGCAAAGAATGGTGAGGCTTGGGGCTGCACGACTGGGCAAATTCCCCATGCACCATGGCCCCCGACTTTCCATTTGGCTTTAATAGTGTCCACGTATGTTCTCTGGTAGACTTACCTTGCAATGTTCTAGAAGTGCCCGTGAAATTCCCAAAGATTAGATGCTGGGACAAGTGGCAGGAGTTGGGGGTGGTGCCCAAATCCCGTCTGGGCTGATAGCACAGGAAACAGACAGTTCTTAGAGACTGACTGCACACTCCGAGACATCCCAGTGCCCTGGGAACTTCTTCTTCCTCTGCTCCTGTCAGCTCAGAGGCTCCTGGTGCCACCACCCTAAATGAGAAACTATAGAAAGTTGCCTGGATCTGTGCCCTCCAGAGCTGAGTCTGTTTATGTCACCTTCTGCAAAGGACACTTAGGAAAGTGATGAGGCCCGAATTCCAGGATCCGGGATCCATGTGGGACCTCACTGGATCGCCTAGTTTTCGTCTATGTGTTGGCCACTCGTGGTTGTCTTTACTTTGTGTCCTTGGGAGTTTCTATTAATTCTGTTGGTTGCAGAAACAGATCTAAAATGACAGAGGGAATGAGCAGACCAGGAACCGCAGCTGCTGGGGAGTACACAATGCAGGCCGGCTGGGAGTGGCCACGGCCCAAGCAGGGCTGTGCAAACTAAGATCGATATGGTGTCCCGTTTCTTGCCTGGAAAACTCCGGACCTTTTGTGAAACTGATTGGTGCTCTTTTGGAATCTGGTGGCCCTGTGGAATGTGGTACTGGAGACCCTGGCCACTACAACCAGAGTGACCAGTGATTTTCTCTGTCCTTTTGTTGGGGACCCAAATCCTCTTAGTTCAGCAAGGTTGCCCAGGGAAATACAAACCCTGCCCGTGGAAACTGGCTTCCCCTCCATATGGACCCAGAGGAAGCTGACTTCCCTTCCATATGGACCCTGGCCAAGGAGGCGGGGGTTGGGTTGGGGTGGGCAATATCTTCTACCTCTGGTCCCCTGTCCCCTCCACACAATGGAGTTGCTCTGCTTATGAGAGCTCGGGGAGGAATTTCCCTGGAGAGAGGTAGCCCCCACCTTCTCCTTAAAGGAGGGGTCTCCAGCAGGCACATGACCCAAATGTTCCCCCTCCCTCCTTTATGGTTTATGTCTTTTCAATCAATGATCTGATCATTGGAAAACTCAGAACACATAGTTTCTCCCCAAACCCCCTGGCTTTCATTAGTCTCCTTGAGATTGTCTTCTACACCCACCAGTCAAGCAGGGATGATGGCCAACAGTTCCTGGGCCACCCTCTTCATGGCCACGGAGTAGAACTGAATCTGGCTTGGGGATAGGAAAGCTACCCTAGGGCCAGGTGGGGGATTGCTCATAGACAGTGCAGCCCAGGTAAAGAAGATTCCCCACTGCCTGGTCTGACTGAAACCCCAATGCTAACCAAGGAAAGGAGGTTGGTGCGGGAGAATTGTCTGTATTCTGTCAATCATTTTAATAAAACGCTGATTGGCCAGGCAGACAGTATAGGCGGGAAAGCCAGACAGGAAGTAGGGGTGGAGCAAAGAGACTGGGAGTATTCTGGAAGCAGAGCTCCCTAAGCACTCCTGCGCAGACCACCGAAGAGGCAGCATGTAACTTGCCCAGCTGAGAAAGGTACGGAGCCAATGTGGCTAATGTAGATAAAGATAATGGGGTAACATAAATTATAAGAGTTAACAAGAAGCCTGACCTAATGGGCCAATCAGTTTATAACCTTATGGAGTCCTATGTATGATTTTTCTCTTTGGGACTTGCCGGCTTGTTGGGGTACCCGGCGGGACAGAAACCCCAACAAGCCGGCCCTCATGTTACAGGAGGTTCTAGATAATTTTTGTCAGGCCTTTTAAGAAGATTGAAGGCAGCTGCTAGAAAACCTATCAGTCTGTCCAAGGTCAGCAAGGTAATATAAAAGCCCCCTCCAAACTGCCCACTGGATTCCTGGGGCCCCTTTACAAGGCTTCCTGGATGTTTAACCCTCTAGATCCAGAAGCACCAGAAAACCAGTGAGCAACCTATATTGCTTTTGTTAGGCAATCAGCCCTAGATATTAGAAACTTCAGAGCCAGGCAGTGGTGGTGCATACCTTTAATACCAACAATAAGTAGACAGAGGCAGTGGTGGATCTCTGAGTTGGAGGCCAGCCTGGTCTACAGAGCAAGTTTCAGGACAGCCAGAGCTACATAGTGAAACCCTGTCTCAAAACAAACAAACAAACAAAACAAAGCAACAACACAAAAACAAAGAAACTTCAAAAGTTAGAAGCATGTGAGAGTATGAACAGGTCCCAATTATTAGAGATTTCTCAAAAGGTTTACAATAACTGTGACTCCATAGAAGAAAAGCAGAGCAAATGATTGAGCTGAGCAGTAGTGGCAGTTCTCAGGGAGACTGATAAAAGGGATCCCAGAGGAGGAAGTCAGAGACCTCAGGGGAGGAAGAGGCTAGAGAAGGACCAACGTGCTTCTTGTAAGCCAAAAGGACACTGGAAAAATAATGCCCAAATCAAAAGAGGGAAAAAGAATGCCCTGTCCTTCATTTGGGTGAGGACCACCAGGAATGGGGTGTAGCACAAATTCTACTTGGTATTAATAATAAGAAAACCCAGAGTCAGATATAGGGGTTAATTCTGAAAATCAGGGAAACAGAGCACCAACCATTAGAGAGTTCTTTTACCTCTACCAATGCTCAGACCGAAGGGGCGATCCTGTCCTCAGACTGCATCTCCAGACTTCAGCGGTCTCCACCAAACCTCAGACTGCCCTGAGCTCCTGTCTCCTCCTGCCTTATATTCCTCTCTCTACCCATCTGTCTCATTCCTGTCTCCACCTCCCTAGTGCTGAGATTAAAGGCGTGGGATCCTAAGGGCTGGGATCACCTTTGTGTGATTTCTGTTTCTCTTTTAGATAGATTCAATCTTGTGTAGCCTGGGTAGCCTTGAACTAACAGAGATCCTTCTGCCTCTGTCTCCTGAGTCCTGGGATTAAAGGTGTGTGCCACCACTCCCTGGCCTCTAGTGTCTTAACTCTGCACTCTGATCTTCAGGCAGGCTTGATTTGTTAAAATATAAACAAAACATCACTACACTGGGGCTCCATTCCACTGAGCTCCTAGGAGCCCAGGGTAGCATTAAAGATAGGTGATAAATCTGTTAAATTTCTAGTTGATGCCAGACTGCCCCATCCTCTAGTTGGTAGATCCCAGACACTAGGACCCTTGAAGAGGCCAGTGACCCATCCAAAAGACTTGGTCCTGTTTCTGCCCATTAGCCATTTTGTTTGTGGGTAGTTGTCTCAACAGCCATGATAGTAAAAGAAGCTGACAAGCTGACCTTGGGCTGGGGACTGTCCCCATCATCCTGTACTCAGCAGAGGCCCTCCTGTGGGAGTCACCAGAGAAGTGAATGACCAATGCCTGGGTAAAGTGTTATCAAACACCTCTCCTGGACCACCCCATATCCAACTCTGTAAAATTTCAGCCATCAACCTGGCCAGCCTGCTACCAGATGATAATCCAGCAGAGTCTCTCCGTGATTGCCTGGAGGTAACTGCTGTGGTCCAGTTCATCAGACTGGAGCTAACAGAGTGGAAATGGAAGAGGTGCTGTATTCTGATGGGAGAAGTTCTCTTCAAGATGGAATCAGGTATGCTGGGACTACCATTGTCACCTTCAACAGAACAGTGTGGGCTCGGTCCCTCAGCTGAGGGACTTCAGCACATAGGGCTGAGCTCCTAGCATTAACCCAGGTGCTTCACTGGGAAAGGACAAAGACATTATTATCCACATGGACAGTTGGTATGCATTTGCCATGTCCCGTGGACCTTCTGGAGAGAGAGAAAGAGAGAGAGAGAGAGAGAGAGAGAGAGAGAGAGAGAGAGAGAGAGCTCCTTATCTCAGCTGAAAATTACAAAATCAAAAAGAAATCCTGGCCCTACTAGAGGCAATACGACTGTCAAAAGAGGTAGCTATTGTCCTCAGCAAAGGGCATCAAAAAGGAGATTCCCCAAAGGCCAAAGAAACAGGGCAGCAGGTTTGGTCACTGTCTTAGAGTTGCTACAGCTGTGATGAAACACCATGACTAAAAGCAGCTTGGCGAGAAAAGGGTTTATTTGGCTTACATGTCCACATCATAGTCTATCATTGAAGGAAGCCAGGACGGGAACTCACACAGGGCAGAAACCTGGAGGCAGGAACTGATGCAGAGGTCATGGAAGGGTACCGCTTACTAGCTTGCTCCTTATAGCTTGCACAGCCTGCTTTCATATATAACCCAGGACCACCTGTCCAGAGATGGCATCACCACCATGGGCTGAGCCGTCCCCCATCAATCATTAATTAAGAAAATGCCCTATAGGCTGCCTATAGGCTGATCTTATGGAGGCATTTTCTTAATTGAGTCTCTCTCAGATGACTCTAGATTGTGTCAAGTTGACATGAAGCTATTCAGCACAGCCACTGAGAAGGTAGCCTGAGAGCCAGTGGCTCCTCTCCAGATCTTGGTTGCCCTGTTCAAACTCCAATTGCTACAGCACCCAAACCACACACAGGAAGAAACCAAGTAGCTAAGGAGACACTTATGTGTATGGTGGCTCTTACTGGACAGGAGACCCATACTTCCTGCTGCTAGATAATCTTGCCAAAGACATTGTGTCCAGGTGTACCACTTGTGTACAAGTGAACCCCGAAGGAGGAAGGAAAACCCTAGAAGGAATTCATGCCTGAGGGAACACCTGGGGTGATATTTTGTGGTGCGGGAGAATTGTCTGTATTCTGTCAATCATGTTTTAAATAAATGCTGATTGGCCAGGCAGGAGGTATAGGCAGGAAAACCAGACAGGAAGTGGAAATGATGCAAGGAGAGCAGGAGAATTCTGGGGAGGAGGAAGCTGATTCCTTCCACTCCTGCCCAGATCACCAAAGCAGCAGGATGTGAGCTGCCCCACTGAAAAAGGTACTGAGCCACATGGCTAACATAGATCAGAAAAATGGGTTAATCAAGATGTGAGAGTTAGCCAGAAAGAAGCCTGATCTAAAGGACCAATCAGCTTTATAACTAATAGAGATCTTTGTGTGATTTTTCTCTGGGACTAAATAGCTGGGGGGCCCCGGGCAGGACAGAAAACCCCACAAACAAGCAGGCCCGGCCCTTCATGTTACAATGCCTGAGGGAACACCTGGGGTGATATTTTGTTTGTGATATAACAAAGTTTGCCTGAAGATCAAAGTGCATAGTTAGCCACACTAGTTAGCCATAGATGCTAGGCAGTAGAATTAAAGGCATATACCTTTAATTCCAGCACTTGGGAGACAGAGGCGGATGGATCTCTGTGATTTCAAGGCCATCCTAGGCTACACAAGATTAAATCAGTCTAAAAGAGAAACAGAGCCAAGCAGTGGTGGCTCACATCTTTAATCCCAGGACCAGGGAGATGGAAACAGCAAAGAATACGGCTGGGCAGAGAGAGGAACATAAGGCAGGAGGAGACAGGAGCACATTGCATTCAGTCTGAGGACTTATAGAGATAGGATTCCCCATTCAGTCTGAGGGTTTTGTAGAGGCAAGAACTAGTGGCTGGCTGCTCCGCTTCTCTGATCTTCAAGCAAGCTTTATTTGTTACAGCACAAACAAAATATCACCAAAAACATACCCATGGAACACTGGAAAGTGGACTTTACAGAAGTAAGCCCCACAGTTCTTGGCTATAAGTATTTGCTAGTTTTCATAAATACCTTCTCTGCATGGGCAGAAGCCTCTCCAGCCTGCCTTAGTCAATGTTCTATTGCTACGAACAGAGCACCATGGCCACGACAACTCTTACAAAGGAAAGCATTTAATTGGGGCTGGCTTACAGTTTTAGGGACTGTCCATTATCATCATGGTAGGGAGCATGACAGCACAGCATGCTTAGCACTGGAGCGGAAGCTGAAAGCTACATTCTGATCTGTAGGCAGAGATAGAAACTGCACCTAGCATCAGCTTTGAAAAATCAAAGCCCACTCTTAGGGACAAACGCCCTCCAACATCTACTCCAACAAAGACACACCTCCTAATACTTCTCAGATAGTGCCCCTCCTTGGTGAGCTCAAACATACGGGCCCATGGGGGTCATTCTAATTCTAACCACCACACCACTGGAATGGAGACAGTTTCAGTGGCCACCAAGAAACTCCTCTAAGAGTTAATTCCTGGATTTAGATTGCCTTTCTCCCTGAGAGTCCAACAATGGCCTGGCCTTCACAGCCAACGTTTCCCCAAATCTGGCAAAGGTCCTAAATATTGATTGGAAATTACACTGAGTCAATAGGCCCAGAGCTCAGGGCAGATAGAAAGGATAAATAGGACCTTAACGGAGACTTTAACTAAATGTGTCCTTGAGACTGGCAAGCATTGGGTCAACCTCCTTCTTTTCCTCTTAAGAGCTAGGCACACCCCATATCAAGAAGGTTGTACCCCATTTGAAATTACCTCTCCCACTCCTCCCTAAGCTCAGAGATGTTCATAAAGCAGAAATTATTAACTACTCCCTCCTCAGTTACTGGCAGGCCCTTCAACAGACCCACCAGACTTCATCGGGTGAATTGAGAGGATGCACTCTTGCTTCTATCTGAGCTTACCTACAAGTTCTAGCCTGGCAACCTCATGTGGTGTGGTGCTTTGAAAGAAAATGGATAGCTCATAGGGAGTGGCACTATTAGGAGGTATGGCCTTGTTGGAGTAGGTGTAACTTTACTGGAGGGGGTGTGTCACTAGGGGTTAGGCTTTGTGGTCTCAGATGCTCCAGTCAGCGGTTTGGTGTGGCATTCTCTTTCTGCTGCTTGTGGATCAAGTGTAGAACTCCCAGCTCGTTTTCCAGCACCATGTCTGCCTGCATGCCACCATGCTTCCTGTCTTGATAATTGACTAAGCCTCTGAAATTGGCAAGTCCCAATTAAATGTTTCCTTTGTAAGAGTTGCCATGGTCATGGTGTCTCTTCACAGCAGTAAAACCCTAACTAGGACATATGGGTAAAGACGATCCCAGTCCAGAGCCTGAAGCCAATGTGGAAAGGTCCATACTCCACAGCGGTGATAATTGCCATTGTCATCCCATGGAGTCACACCCAGCTGAAGGAGGCTACAAAAGTTGACAGATGGGTCATCGCTAAGTCCTTCAACCCAATAAAGATAGCAGTGAGATGGGCCCTTAGATTATGATTGTCCTTTTTTTTTAAAAAATCTTCTCTTTATCTCCATGGGAAAGGCTCAGTCTAGATATGGAAATTAAAAAAGACTGCTGATTATGACAGACCTCAAATCCCCGTATTATTTTAAGAAAGAAGTTAATCAAACAGTAAGCTCTACTTTCAATCTGGACAACTGTAAATGGAACCAGCTCAAGTTCACCCTGGGGATTGCCAAGGAAAGGGAGCCTGCTTAATATTACCAAAATGTCACCTAGTTACTTCCCTCATGCAAATTCTTACAGCCATAACAACAGGTTGACTCCAGGAGCTGCAGCCGAGTATCTTTCCCGGCCTCAGAGACTACCTGGTTTGCTGGCACTACTGGCTTAGTCAAGTGTGCGTCTTCTGAATTGTTTGCACTAGAGGGGAACCCGCTCTTTTGTGTCCTCACGTATATCACAGCACAGGTGTTTATCTAAAATGGAGAAGAGGGCAGGGTCTAGATTCTTGGCTCCCTCATGCATGGCAAGCATGTCACCATTCTCATTCCCCAGTTGGTGGGGGAAGGGATGGCAGGCTCCATTGCAGTTGGAACCTCACCCTTTGTTGTGGAGGATAAAAACTTCAAGGAACTCAGTGCTCAAGTAAATATAGACCTTGGCCACTTAGAAAATTCTCTTTCCATCTGGAAGCCCAGGTAGACTTCCTAGTGGAGATTGTTCTTCAGAACCGCAGATGGCTGGACCCCTTCTTCATAAAACAGGGAGGACTCTGTATGGTACTAGGAGAAGCCTGTTGAAAGATTAGCCATGTGCCTTTGTTGGGTTTCTATTGCTCTGAAGAGACACCATGACCACAGCAACTCTTGTAAAGAAAAACATTTAATTGGGTGGCTTACAGTTTTAGAGGTTTAGTCCATTATCATCATGGTGGGATGTGGCAGCATGCAGGCAGACATGGTGCTGGAGAAGGAGCTGAGAGTTGAGATGGGGTTACATCTTCATCCCTCGGGCAATAGGAAGTGAACTGAGATACTGGTCATGACTTGAGCATATATGAGACCACAAAGTCCACCTTCCTGGTGACACACATCCCATGACAAGGCCATACGTACCCCAACAAAGCCACATCTTTCAATAGAACCACTCCATATGAGCTTATGGGGCCAAAGACATTCAAACTACCACACCCGACCCCAGTTTCCCCGTATGTGTGTCCATATGTCTGTCCTTTCTTCATCCCCTCCTTGCTCCTAGCCAAGGTTTCAGGACACAAGCCACCTGGGACGTGGTACTGCAGCATCCCCTTAGCTCCTTTGAATGGAGGCTGAGTCCTGGGCACCAGCAAGCCCTCCACTGTCTCCTGTGAGAACAGAGGCCACTGTACAGCAAGATCCAGCAGTAGCCAATGGCATCCTTCATTCTGTAGGACTCCTGGCCTCCGTTCTTTTTGTGTCTTACACCAGAGCCTTGACCTTGCTGTGATCCACAGCTATAGGTTTTCTCAAAGGCTGGGGCCCTAGAGGCCTTGAGAATTCCATCTAGTGGGACACCCATTGTAGAATGTTTAGAGCAGTGCCTTGAGGAGGTCCCTGTAATAGAGTTTGGGGGGCTCCAGAGACAAACTTAAGTAGCATGAGCCACATTCTGAGTGCTTATTCTTTTCCATTTTTGGTTGTGTGTTTTATTTTGTTTGAGACAAGGTCTTACTGTGTAGCCCAGGCTGGCCTGGAACTTGCTATGTAGACTACGGTGGCTTCAAACTCACAGAGATTCACCTACCTCTGCCTCCCAAGTGCTGGAATTAAAGGTGTGCACCAACATGCCTCGCTCTTCTCTAAACAGCCTAGACTTTCCAGAAGTTTGTCTATTTCTTTAAAGACCAGGTCTCCCTGTTTTGCTCAGCTAGTCTCATGGTCTTACATTTGTGAATTAAAACAACCCCCTACCCCAGTCTTCTGAGCAGCAGAGAGCAGCCTTATCTATGGTGACTGTTATCTCCAGTTGTTTGCATTCTATGATGGATAGTTTTTCGTTCAATTGACACAAGCTGGAGTTATCTGAAAGGAGAGAACCTCAAATGAGAAAATGCATCCATAAGATGGGGTTGTAGGCAAGTCTGGAGGGCATTTTCTTAAGTAGTAATTGGTGTGGGAGGGCCCAGCCCTTTGTGGGTGGTGGTATCCCTGGACTGGCGGTCCTGGGTTCTATTAAGGAAATAGGCTGAAGCTGGGTGGTGGTGACATATGCCTTTAATCCCAGCACTTGGGAGGCAAAAGCAGGTGGGTCTCTGTGAGTTTCAGGCCAGTCTGGTCTACAAGAGCTAGTTCCAGGACAGGCTCCAAAACTTCAGAGAAACCATCTCAAAAGAAGAAGAAGAGGAGGAGGAGGAGATGGAGGAGGAGGAAGAAGAGGAGGAGGAAGAAAACAGGCTGAGTATGCCAGGAAGAGGAAGCCAGTAGGCTTCCCCCTCTATGGCCTCTGCATCAGCTCCTGCCTCCTGCCCTGTTTGAGCTCTGACTTCCTTTGATGACGAACAGTTGCTTTGGTCATGGTGTTTCATTGCAGCAACAATAACCATAACTAAAATACATCCTTGACCTCAACGGACCTGCTCTTCGATGATCATGCTGCAGAAACACCACAAGTTGTAGAGAAATGCTGACAGGTGGGCTGAATACAACAGTGCCCATCAGTCATGAATGGAAGACAGCGAGCGAGTCTTTTTCTGTCCTGCCAACCAGCTTCCAAATAACAGCATAGAGACTTCTTATTTATGGAAGCTTGGCCTATAGCTTAGGTTTGTTCCTAACTAGCTTTTATAAGTTAAATTAACCCTTTTATATTAATCTGTGCTCTATCACATGGCATTGCCTGTCTTCCACCTTGCTCCTCCTGTTTCCCCTCTGTTTCCTGGCATGTCTCGCAAGTCCAGATTCCTCTTCGTTTTCCTTTCTTTCCCTGGAAATTCTGCCTATACCTCCTGTCTAGCTATTGACTATTTAGCTTTTTATTACACCAGTCACAGCAATACATCTTCACAGAGTGGACAAATATCCCACAACAAGACAGCCCAGTAAGGAATGGTGTACACTAAATGGGATGGCGTCACCTATATTCAGGGTAGGTCTTCCCACATCAGTTTACCCAGTATAGAAACTGTCCAACAGACATGCCCAGAAGGTTGGTGACCCTAGATCATGTCAAGTTAGCAGTATTAACCACCACACTAGGAAAATACAATCTCGTTCTTAACAGAGCAAGACAGCAAGTCCTGTTGAGATTAAGGTTTATGTAGGAAGAGATGAACCAAAGAAGTACATGAAGATCTTGGGAACAATGATGCCCCTCTTTAAGGGCATTTGTCTGGATAGAGATGTTGGGGTTTTGGAGAAGGAAAAGCAGATTTGTGCTCTCTGATTAATCTAGTCCCAACGAGGGGCAACAACATAGCCAGCCAGTTTCCCTAGGGGTGGAGGGATGGAGCTGTCTGGCCCAGACCGTGACCAGGCTGTATTCTCTCAGTGCTACCACAAGCATCATGAAAAGGCTAAGGAAGATCCTGTGCTCCAGGGGTTGAGGCTTCCTGTGCCAGCATGCAGACTTCAATTCATGCTGCCCCAGATCCCTGCACAATCTCCTTCCCTGGCCCAAATGCTTAAAGAGGTAAACAGAACAAGAACCAACAGCTGTGTGCAGAAGAACTGAGCCCGTGTCTCTCATACAATGCCCAGGTCCTGAGCGTCCAGGTTGGGAAGCAGCAGGGAGGTGAAGACATGGACTTTCCCCTCTGTGGCCCAGGGGGCGATGGAGGAGCAGATGGAGCAGTCAGGTAAGGGGCAGATCGACAGTACCACAGAAAATACCTAGTACTCAAATTGTTCTACAAAGGCTGGAAGGACTGCACATTCTGAGCCAACACTGTTTAAAAGGCAAACAACGACCAATAAGAGCACCAGCCGCACTAGGCTAGAGGAAAATAGCTCCAATGCACAAAGAATGCAGAGAAGGTGGTTAACCCTGTAATCTTGGCTTCAGAAAGTCAAAATAGGAATTTAATCTCTAGTGTAATTATTCTGCTCGATAGCGGTAATAATAAAAATGATGTACTTTTAATGTTAAGAACAGGGATATTAGTGAAAATGATTTCTTGCAGAAGACTGTGTTAGACAACTCATTATTCTGGGCAGAGCGACGGATCCTAGCAGCCACTCCAGCGTTGTGTGTGTGTGTGTGTGTGTGTGTTTTGGTAAAGCATGTTTATAGACACTGTCCACTTCCCTCTCCAGCTGCTGGAGAAAGCCAGATTTCACAGTTTATCACAAAATGCCAGATTTTTCTCAGCATGTAATTTAATCTCTTGCTTGGAGGCCTCCATATTACATGGTTATCACAAAATTATTCTTTAATAAAAATGCATGCTTTGTGATCCCCATTTTATTAATTTGGCATGTCATTTCATCCATCACTATAGATGCCAGGAATTCCATTTGTCACAGTTATTGGCTGGCGACCAGCATGTGCTTGCGCCGCGTCATAGCTCCCCACTCCTAGGCTTCAAGGAAATAGTGTCTTGATCTACAAAGGACGGTGCTGGAATAGCAGCTGTTAGCAATCCGGGTGCTGCAGTTTCAAATCATCAGGATGGGGTTGTTGTTTTTTTCTGACAGAAGCATCTTCTCTCCTCCTGGAAATGGGCTGCCTAAAATAGGCATATCTCTATCTATCTATCTATCTATCTATCTATCTATCTATCTATCTATCTATCTATCTA